AGGTCACAAATCAAGGTGTGTCTTCACTAAAACACACACATAGCCGGTCCCTCCTGTGTGTATTCTGTCCATTGCAGTTCTGCACCGAGCACTCAGCATTACTTGTAGGCAGCTTGTACGCTGTGTTTGTTTATACAGCCTGGCTTTACAGCACATAATTGTGGGATGACGGGAACAATGGGAGCATTATTTCTATTTATCAGATTAGCATGGTGCTAATTACTGAAGATAATATAAATATCACGTTACAAAGCTGCAGAACTTGTTGCTTCTCTCGGCTGGGAAATGTAATACATGCAGATGTCAACGAGGTTTTGGTCACACATCGTCTTTGTACAATCCTGGTGCTTTGCCACTGGGGATTAAAGCTTCACATACATCGGTAGAATTTTGCTCAAAAATGCTAATTTTCAGGAATGTTGGTTCTATTAATGGTTAGTGGGGACAAATCGACAGTTGTTTTTTCACCGTAGTGATGAGAAGATTCAAAGGAGCAGGATGGAAATCAACCACAAGCGGCAGCAGTGTTCAGTTATTCAGACTTTATTGAAGCAAAGCCTTGTTGGAGTTGTATGCTGGTAGAAGGACTTCTGTAGTCAGATAAAGAGTAAAGAGACTACATTTCCCAGAAGAGCTGGCAAAGGGGCGGGGCGTATATATTCCAAAGCCAAGGAAACTTACAGGATGGTGAGAGGCGGAGGATGAAAGTGTGTGGGGAAGACCATGCGGGACTCAGGAGATCTAGGCTGGATTGGGTCGCATCGCATAGAGGGAAAGAGAGACTGCAGAACGCTGGTATCGCTGACGAGCTGGACAGTCAATCCTGCAGACAAGTGGATTGTAGTGCTGCCATCGGCATCACTTCCTTGACAGAGAGATCAAGAGAACACGGGGTCCCCCAGAAGAGACCAACGCTGGCGCTGCCAATACTACAGACTGGGTGAGAGGGTTCCGTAACGCAGATCATCACAAGTTGCAAGTGACTGTGTTATTTGCAGCGGTTCAGTTCAGTAGATCTTACACCACGGTTTATCACATTGAGACACAGACTTGCTAGCCCATTCAGTGCTGCGGCCTACTGCTTTAGTGTCTCCCTAATATCCTGAAACCGCAGGAATCTGGCTACACCACGTGCCCCCTGCACACAGGAATACACTTAGTATCTCATTTCAAGCCTCTTCTAGCTCCAAAGGAACCTGCTTCATCAGACTAGTTCACCATCCTTAGGGGTTTAAACTCTGCTGAAGTCTGCTTCCGCCCTTTCCTTCAACTTTAGCAAGTTCTTGTATTTATCTTCTGTGTTAAAGAGACCTTAAATCTATACTGGACGAGGATGCATTTCCCTACGCACCATCTGGCCAATTGATGAATCTAAAATATATAACCTTTATTCAACTCCAATAGGCAATAATTACAGCTGAGCATACATTTTTTATATTTGAATAAAGGTTTTATATTTTAGATTCATCAGTTGGCCAGATGGTGCATAGGGATACATACCCTCGTCCAGTATAGATTTGTTATTTGCCAAAGATGATGATTTACAATTAGGGCTTAGTTCAATAGTTAAAGAGACCTTATCCAGTTCCAACACCACTCTAATGGGAATCTTTCTCTTGCTGTACTATCCTGAGGAAATCTTGCTTTTACACAAAAAAGGATCTTAACCTTAATGTGCACCAACTAGGGCCCCATCAAGCACACAGGTTTGTCACCATTCCTATATGACATATTAAAGAGGAAATTATTGCTTATAAAAATTCATCTCAAGAGTTAAACCCAGTTTTCAGCAACTAAGAATCTAAAAGTTAGTTTAGCATCTTGATAATCCACTTAAGCTCACTGGGGAGAGATATCTTAGAAGCTGGAATTGATGTTTAAAATTCTGATTTTGCAGGGCATTTAGTTTTACTTAAAGTGGTACTGTGCGTCAGTATTTTGTTAAACTTGTTAGAGTGTTTCATTTCTATGCCCTTCTATTGTCACTCTTGTTGTGCTTGCACTCCCTAAACTCTGACCTCAATACAATCAGAACATTTGTTCACCTTAAGCTGTGTTTATTTTATGGTTCAAAACCAGGGAGTCCTCCTGGCCAAGGTTTCACAGTGGTGTCAGCAGGCAGGGACAGTACTTCCAAAACAGGCTCAGAAAAGACAGGGGACCCAAAATACTCAGCAGCTCTTAATGGGGTAGCACTACACACAGAACAGACCTGACTAGCACTCTGATTACAGAGCACAACTATGCTTTTACCTAAAAACAATCACAACCACACTGACTACAGTGTGACAACTAAATGTACCAAGCAAAATGCCAACTAAATCTATCTATCTAAACCTAGCACCTGTCCGGGAGGGTGCCAAATCTGCAGCACCTGACACATTTCAGGTCCAAGTAATGAAGGGGGAATAAAGATGGTCCTGGTCAGTGGTGACTCTAGGAACAATACATGGGGGGGGGGGGGGTACATACAGTAAGAAGCCACTGGGGGACACTAATATTTTTCACCACTAAATCATAACACTGAAAAAAAGAAATAAGCATAAATAAATAAGATTACAAAATACGTGAGTAATGCAATGATACCTTTTCATTGTGCTAACCTAACACTGTTAATAAATGTAAGGTTCTGCACTTGGAGGACCCCTACATACTAGGGGGGTACACCTGGGGGACTCAATGGTGGAGAAGGATCTGGGAGTTCTGGTAGATCACAAGCTTAATAATGGCATGCAATGCCAAGCTGCGGTTTCTAAAGCGAGCAAAATCCTCTCTTGTATTAAAGAGGTATAGACTCCAGAGAGACGGATATCATTTCCCCCGGTACAAATCATTAGTAAGACCTCATCTGGAATATGCAGTTCAGTTTTTTTGGCACCAATTCACAAAAAGAACATTGGGGAACTGGAGAAAGTGCAGAGAAGGGCAACCAAACTGATAAGAGGCATGGAGGAACTCAGCTATGAGGAAAGATTAGAGGAACTGAATTTATTCTCTCTTGAGAAGAGGAGATTAAGGGGGGATATGATCTCCATGTATAATACATAAGGGGGGATATGATCTCCATGTATAATACATAAGGGGGGATATGATCTCCATGTATAATACATAAGGGGGGATATGATCTCCATGTATAATACATAAGGGGGGATATGATCTCCATGTATAATACATAAGGGGGGATATGATCACCATGTATAATACATAAGGGGGGATATGATCTCCATGTATAATACATAAGGGGGATATGATCTCCAGGTATAATATATAAGGGGGGATATGATCTCCATGTATAATACATAAGGGGGGGATATGATCTCCATGAATAATACATAAGGGGGGATATGATCTCCATGTATAATACATAAGTGTGGGGGGGGGATAGGATCACCATGTATAATACATAAGGGGGGATATGATCACCATGTATAATACATAAGGGGGGATATGATCTCCATGTATAATACACATAAGGGGGGATATGATCTCCATGTATAATACATAAGGGGGGATATGATCACCATGTATAACACATAAGGGGGGATATGATCTCCATGTATAATACATAAGGGGGATATGATCTCCATGTATAATACATAAGGGAGGATATGATCTCCATGTATAATACATAAGGAGGATATGATCTCCATGTATAATACATAAGGGGGGATATGATCTCCATGTATAATACATAAGGGGGGATATGATCGCCATGTATAATACATAAGGGGGATATGATCTCCATGTATAATACATAAGGGGGGATATGATCTCCATGTATAATACATAAGGGGGGATATGATCACCATGTATAACACATAAGGGGGGATATGATCTCCATGTATAATACATAAGGGGGGATATGATCACCATGTATAACACATAAGGGGGGATATGATCTCCATGTATAATACATAAGGGGGATATGATCTCCATGTATAACACATAAGGGAGGATATGATCTCCATGTATAATACATAAGGAGGATATGATCTCCATGTATAACACACATAAGGGGGGATATGATCTCCATGTATAATACATAAGGGGGGATATGATCTCCATGTATAATACATAAGGGGGGGATATGATCACCATGTATAACACATAAGGGGGATATGATCTCCATGTATAATACATAAGGGGGGATATGATCACCATGTATAACACATAAGGGGGATATGATCTCCATGTATAATACATAAGGGGGGATATGATCTCCATGTATAACACATAAGGGGGGATATGATCTCCATGTATAATACATAAGGGGGGATATGATCTCCATGTATAATACATAAGGGGGATATGATCTCCATGTATAATACATAAGGGGGATATGATCTCCATGTATGATCTCCAATATACATAAGGGGGGATATGATCTCCATGTATAATACATAAGGGGGGATATGATCTCCATGTATAATACATAAGGGGGGATATGATCTCCATGTATAATACATCAGTGGTTCATATAGTGAACTCAGTGTAGAGCTATTCACCCTGAGGTCATCACAGAGGACAAGAGGGCATTCTTTACATCTGGAGGAAAAAATGTAATCTCCAAACATGGAAAGGTTTCTTCACAGTGAGAGCTGTGAAAATGTGGAATAGACTCCTTCAAAAGTTGGTTCTGGCCAGCTCAGTGGATTGTTTTTAAAAATGCCCTGGATTCTTGCTTAGATACACAGAATATAACTGGATACTAACATTTATAGGTAAAGTTGATCCAGGGATTATCTGGTTGCCTCTTGGGGGATCAGGAAGGAATTTTTTCCCCTGCAGGAGCAAAGTCATGCTTTACTGGTTTTTTTTTGCCTTACTCTGGATCAACTGTGGGTGTAGGATTATAACTTTTTTTTTTATGGTTGAGCAAGATGGACATGTGTCATTTTTCAGCCAGACTATATATAATTACTATATATAATAACTGTATATAAAAGACATGCTTTCAAGAGTCTTATTTTTATTTTTCAGGTATTGCTTCAGACCTGAGAAAGAAAGGAAAACTCTCAGAGACTGCAGACGTACTACATAAGTGGGTCAGAGACTACAGAAATATAACTGGAGAGGATCAGAGACTGCAGCGGTACTACATGAAATGGTCAGGAACTGCAGACATAGTGCAGGAGATGCCAGAGACTGCAGACATACTACAGGAGAGAATCAGAGACTGCAGACATAGTACAGGAGATGGTCAGAGACTGCAGAAATACTACAGGAGAGGATCAGAGACTGCAGACATACTACAGGAGATGATCAGAGACTGAAGTCATAGAAAAGGAGAAGATCAAAGACTGCAGACATAGTACAGGAGATGGGCAGAGACTACAGACATACTACAGGAGATAATCAGAGACTGCGGAAATACTATAGGAGAAGATAAGAGACTGCAGAAATACTACAGAAGAGGATCGGAAACTGCAGACATACTACAGGAAATGATCAGAGACTGCAGACATAGTACAAGAGATGATCAGAGACTGTGGACACAGTACAGGAGATGACCAGAGACTGCGGACATAGTACAGGAGATGACCATAGACTGCGGACATTGTACAGGAGATGACCAGAGACTGCGGACATAATACAGGAGATGACCATAGACTGCGGACACAGTACAGGAGATGACCAGAGATTGCAGATGTAGCACAGGAGATGACTAGAGACTGCGGACACAGTACAGGAGATGATCAGAGACTGCGGACACAGTACAGGAGATGACCAGAGACTGAGGACACAGTACAGAAGATAATCAGAGACTGCGGACACAGTACAGGAGATGACTAGAGACTGCGGACACAGTACAGGAGATGATCAGAGACTGCGGACACAGTACAGGAGATGACTAGAGACTGTGGACACAGTACAGGAGATGATCAGAGACTGCAGACATAGCACAGGAGATGGTCAGAGACTACAGACATACTACAGGAGATGATCAGAGACTGCGGATGTGACGATCGCAGCGTCAGACCCCAGCCCTTCTCACCAAACTCGTGACCGAAGGACTAGCCAATCTAAAACGGTGCTGTCATGTGCGTAACAATGCCACGCGCAGCTGCATCCTGCACAAAGATTTTCCAGCTAATGGACCACAACCTGTGTGCCGGCAGCCTGGGAGCAATTGTTACTGGGTCAGGTTAATTACGCAATTAACCCTTCACACTGCCAACACCTTCTTTTTGTACAGAGAAAGAGGAAACTCAGCAATAACACTATGATGTTTGAATAATCGTCGGTATACCACTGTCACCGCAGGCAGAGATATACCGAAGTTTACAACACACACAGAAGCGCTTTTCAGAGGCAGGGGTTCTTAGTTCGCATTAAAGAGCTTTAGAAACAGTTCAACACTTTCAGAAAGTAAGATTTATTACTAAAAGGTCAAAAGGGTGCAATAAAAATATTTACAGAAAAAGATGTAGCCAATATATGTATATAAATATACAGAAACAATAGCACAGCAAAGAGATAACAGAAAGAAGTTTAGAGGGATAAAGTACTTGCCATCCACCTTGGGTTAAGCAGATCAGGTTTCAGAGCCAAAAGGGTTTTATCTCTCAAAGTTAGTTCCGATGTTAAAAGGGAGATTCTTTAACTTCTCTCAACTCAGCTTAGCTTAGATTTTTCTAGGAACTCCACAGGGTGTCTCCCTGAAGCAGAGAACCAATCGCCTCATTTGGGGAGGGGGTTGTGTAGGGGGAGCTAATGCTATGACCAAAGCCTTCCCAAATTATACTATGGCCAATAACTTTTCCTAGGTACATATATCATTCTATCCACGAATAGATTAATACCCACAATCATCGGCTGAACGGTTAGATATGAAATATGACATACCTGCTTGAATGGTTAAGGAGATATAATTTTCTGCTCTCCTGTGTATGTCAGATAGGGGGTGTAATATACCAGGCGATTTGTATTAAAGTGAGCCATCCGAAATATGTGCTCCATGTTTGTGTAATTATTTCCTATTTGAAGATATAAAATTATATGTAAAAGTGGGTTTTTAAATGTACCATATATACTCGAATATAAGCCGAGTTTTTCAGCACATTTTTTGTGCTGAAAAATGGCCCCCTCGGCTTATACTCGAGTCAACGTCTGCAGGGGGCTGCTGTCTCTTACCTGGCTCTGGTCCCACGAAGATCCGGTCCAGGAAGCGCGGCTGCTCCTTCATTCGGTTCGTCCACTGGATGTTCGCGCGGCTGCTCGGCTCCGCCTTCTCACTGGTGATTGGCCGCCAGAACTGTAGCTCAGGAAAGGCACACAGGCGGCCAATCACCGGCGAGGAGGCGGGCTGAGCGGCCCCGCGAAAATCGAGTGAAGGAGATGCAGGTAAGTGTGCCGTGCTTAGGTGCTGCTGCAACCACATATGCTGGCTGCAGCAGCACCATACTGGAACAGGGGTCAGCAAGTGTCAGTGGGAGGAATAGTGCCCCATCATTGGTGTCACTGATACCAATGATGAGGCATTATTCCTTCCACTGACACCAACGATGGGGCACTTTTCCTCCCCCCCACTGACACCAACGATTGGGCACTATTCCTCCCCCCCCCCCCCCCCACTGACACCAATGATGGGGCACTATTCCACCCCCCACTGACACCAATCATGGGATACTATTCCTCCCCCCCACTGACACCAACGATGGGGCACTTTTCCTCCCCCCCACTGACACCAACGATGAGGCACTATTCCTCCACCCCCCCACTGACACCAATGATGGGATACTATTCCTCCCACTGACACCAATGTTGGGACACTATTCCTCCCACTGACACCAATGATGGGACACTATTCCTCCCACTGACACCAAAGATGGGGCACTATTCCACTGACACCAATAATGGGGTGCTATTCCCCCCACTGATACTAATGATGGGGCACTATTCCTGCCACTGATACCAATGATGGGACACTATTCCTCCCACTGACACCAATAATGGGGCGCTATTCCTCCCACTGACACCAGTGATGGGGCACTATTCCTCCCACTGATACCAATGATGGGGCACTATTCCTCCACTGATACCAATGATGGGGCACTATTCCTCCCATTAATACCAATGATGGGGCACTATTCCTCCCACTGATACCAATGATGGGGCACTATTTCTCCCACTGACACCAATGATGGGGCACTATTCCTCCCACTGATACCAATGATGGGGCACTATTCCTCCCACTGATACCAATGATGGGGCACTATTCCTCCCACTGACACCAATGATGGGGCACTATTCCTCCCACTGACACCAATGATGAGGCACGATTCTTCCCACTGGTGTTCCCACCCTCGGCTTATACTCGAGTCAATAGTTTTTCCCAGTTTTTTGTGGTAAAATTAGGTACCTCGGCTTATATTCGGGTCGGCCTATACTCGAGTATATAAGGTAAGTCTGTTTTTACGACTACCTGGAATGTCTGTGAACTCAGTGAAGGACTTGGTTTATGGTTTTACGATTTCCCAGATTGCAAAGCTAACAGGCATCTAGGCACAAGCTCGGCTGGGGTTTTATAGCCATGGAGCTCTCCCACTGGGGCCTGTTGCCTTTTGAACTCTGCATCAAACAGACCACATGTCACTCAACAGAGAGGAATGGGGGATATCGGAGGAATCTGATTTGGGAGAGAGATACAAAATGGAGGGGTTTGGAGCAAAATGGATGATCGCGTCCATCTCTGTGTGTGTTCTGTTAGTGGATCCTGCTCAGATGCTCACACACTGTAGTTAACAGGAGACATTTTATTAGGTGCTTCTAGCTGCCATTATACATGTGTCTGCCCTAGAACTACAACCAAAGAGAGGCAATAACACAGTTGTACCAGTATCTAAGTAGTGAGACCCCTAGAGGCCATACACAGCATATAACATATTGCTACATCCTTTCTCTTTTAACTAAAAGAACAATGAAATATAACAAACACAAAATGGTGAAGTAGAACATAGCTATAAATTAGATATAATCCTTGAGGTGAGCCGGCTTTCTGATTGTTCCCAGAGTACGTCTTTGTGAGTTAGCTGTCTCAGTGGCTCACACATGTCTGATAAATGCTTGCAAAATTTGGAAAGATAATTCAACATGCCCAGGAATCGTTGTACTCCACGTATATCTGTAGGTGTCGGCATGTCCTGTATCGCCCTCACCTTCTCTGGATCGACTTTAACACCATTTGAGGTAAGAAGATGTCCAATATATGGTACTTCTGTCATTTTTAGTTTGAATTTTTCCAGGTTCAGTTTGATTTGTTTTTTTCTACATCTGTCTAAGAATTGTATCATCTTTTTATCGTGATCCTTTGTTGCGGATTCTAGATCATCACCTTCCCCAACTATTAGTATATCGTCTGCTATTATTTTTTACTCCAGACAGTCCTTCCAAAGCTTGCATCAATTTTTGTTGGAACACTTCTGGAGCTGGGCTTACTCCCATTGGCATTCTAAGCCACTTATAGCGTCCAAATGGGGAAGAAAATGCTGTTAATAAACTTGATTCTTTATCCAGTTCCACGTGCCAGAACCCATTTTTCACATCACATACCGAAAATATTTTAGCCTTTGATAGATCTGGTAGAATATCTTCTATTGTTGGCATTGGATAGTGATTTCTTTTAAGGGCCTTGTTCAGTGGCTTAGGATCAATGCATATTCTTAACTTGCCTGATGGTTTTTTCACTATCACCAAACTGCTTATCCAGTCTGTGCTTTCCTGTACTGGTGCTATCATACCTCTGCTGTGCAAATCCTGCAGTTCCTCTTTAAGCGGTTGCATTAAGGCTACAGGTACTCTTCTTGTAGGCAGTCTGGTAGGCTGTATTGTGTGATCAATTTCTAGTTTGTATTTACCTTCCAGGCACCCATCACCTTCAAATAAATCAGCATACTCTGTTTTTTATGTGGTGAAAATCCAAAATGTATTCTGCCTTTTGTGTAGGATTTTGAGTATTGTCAGAAACTTCCAGAGCCATGATGTTATGGGACTGCACCTTTATTAAGTCCATAGCCTGAACTGCTTTAACTCCCAGCAAAGGAATGTGATCGTCCTCCTGCAACACAGTAAACTCCACTCTGTAGCTCTTTCTGTTACGTGGATTTCTTAATTTTAGCTTGCATGTTCCCATGGGTTTCAGAACACTTTTGTTGTACATGACCAGTACCTTATCAGTGGGCTCAATGGGAACCTGTTTGTTAAGCAGAGTAAATGGAATCACATTGCAGCTTGCTCCACAATCCAGCTGAAATCTTATGGGCTGTTCATCCACCATAAATATGGCAAAGAGCTGCTTTGCATCATTGGCTACTGGCTGTTTGACTACATTGACGTTCTCTGTTGCAGACTGCAGCTGCAGCCATGTGATGCCCTCTGTGCTGTCCTCGTCTGTGTCCTGGGTCACTGTGTGGACTTGTCTGTACTGTTTGCTGGTTTTGAATCTGCACACAGCTGAAAAGTGGTTCATCTTGCCACAAGTCCTGCAGGACTCCCCATACGCTGGACATTTCTCTTTGTCTCTTTCATGTCTTTTGCCACAGTATTTACACTGGACTGAGCTCACAGGGAGCCTGGACCTTGCTCTGCCTTTCACAGATACTGCATGTACTGAGGCATCACTGGTGCCCTCCATCATCTTCAGCCTGTCTTTAGTCAGCTCTGCAGCCCTGCAGATTTGTATACATTTCTCCAGCGCCAGCTCTTCCTCCCTCAGTAATCTTTCTCTGAGGTGAGAGTCTCTGATGCCACTCACTATCCTGTCTCGGATAAGGGGAGTCCCTGATGTCCCCAA